CTCCGCGAATACAAAATTGTAGCTCCACGATCCCATGATGGCGAATTCTCGAGCTCGGGCGACTGTTCATGGCTGAATATGAGAGCGAGATCTTGGCCAGAACCAGGTACACGGGCCAGGCCAGGCCGGTCAGGTCTGGTCTGGTCTGGTGGAAAGACAGCCATCGCTGGAAGAAACATGAGCCAAATAAAAAGCCCATTTGCACACAAATTTACTTCCAAAATGCCTAAGATGCGCATCATTCAAACTGAATGGCCGTGCCAGTGGCGTGGCCCGGGAAAGGGTACGGGCACGGGCACGGGTACGGTAACTGGACACCGGATGCAGATAAATCTTTGGGTTGCCGACCAGCCCGAACAGAGAGAGAGATAGAGAGAGAGAGAGAGCCCTGGAAGCAAGTGCGTTGTCAGGTTCAGCAGCAACCGACCAAGCGACCGACCAAGCGACCGACCAAGCGACCGCCTTCGCCGAGGTTGAAGCTCGATCGGAATCACGAGATAAGCGCGCTTGCCACAATCCCCAGTCCCAGTCCCTCTCCCAGTCCCTGTGCCTGTCCTGGGTGGACTGCGACAAACTTAATTGCGCCTATTCCTGCATTAATTGTACACACACGCGCGAAGCCACTGGCTTTAGCGATCCCCAGCCTGTCCCCAGCCTGCTCCTGGCCGTCGGAATGTGTTAATTAAATATTTAAATTATTCGTACATCAAGCCCCAATGGGATCCTTCATTGCTGCTCGAATATCGCTGATGATGCCAGCGCAGAGTTTACACACGCGGCACGGCACGCACGAGGCAGTCCAGCCCATCCCAGACCGCTCTTCCTTCCAGGACACTCTTTTTGTCTAGACTGTTTTGCGGTCAGCAGCAAACAGCAACAGCAGCAGCTGCTGCGGAGCCTAAAGCTAACCATGTACAGACCCTGAACACTCGGGTTCGATCAGCGGGGATTTTTTTTTGTATTTTACTATGCAAAAACGGCGACACGCGTCCTTTCGGGCAGAAGCCACAAAACAATTTCAATTTTATTTTTACACATATAACTCCCGGAGCCAACTATTTATAGCCAAAAGTGGGAGGCGGGTAGGTGGGTGGGCAGGGCAGACAATAGTGTCCTGGCGATGGAACAACTCAATTTAAATATATTAATTAAATGTACTTTTCTATGGCGACCGACTGCCTTGGGACTGGCACTGTGACTGCCTGCAAATTGTTCAGTTTTGTATTCCACTTTTCGGGGATTTCAAATTCGAGGCTGGCGGCGCCCAACCATCGACAATGCAATTGCAAAACGACGACAGCCAAGCAATAAACATGTTGGCCATCAATGCACATTTCTGCATAGATAAATTTCAAAACAAAAATACTTGCTTGCGATAGGGGGCTATTGGAGGTACAAATTAGAGCTGAGGGCCCCAAAGCTCGGATCCGGCTCCAGCTCCAGCTCTCACAGCTCTCCCAGCTCTCCCAGCTCCATCATCAGGAGCATTCAGCCGTTTAAAAGCCAACCACATACACGGACTTGTGTCCATGCGTGAGTGTATGTGTATGTGTGGGTTGCACAACCGCGGAAGTTGCAAGGTCCACGTTTGTACGTACTCCCGGGTGTAACCAGCGGCGGAGGCAACTACCGCGGCCGGCCGCCCTGCAGCGCCAGGCCCGGCCCGACCCGGCCCAGGCCAGCGCTCTAGAATGAGTTATAGAGCTTGTTGGCGATTTTATTGCCACAGCGCAGCCATAAAATATGGTAAATTATAGCGGTTTGTTGTTTTGGCCATTTTGTAGCCGAATAATGTTCTACGTGTGCGTCCTCAAGCCCCAATAGACCTGTTCATGTTTCAGTCCCGTCCCGGATTCGTTACACACGCCCACAACACAAATGTGGTCTTGTCAAATGGAAACGCGACAAGTCCCTCTGTTTCGCCAAACAAAATTACAAAATAAAAAAAATATCTGAACGGAACCGAGAACCGTTATTACTCGTACTATTCCATCTTAATTCGTTTACATAAAATACATCTCTGCCATGTGCAATAGGTGCTTGGGTATAGACTAATTCTGTGAGATATCCAGGCCAACTCTATGGCAAGTTATACTTTCAGTTCGAGTACTTAACATATTTATGCAGATCCCAAGCACACTTCCATCACCCCAAGCAGTTCTTGATCAATATTTAAAGCTGATAGCTTTTGAATATTGTTCAAACAAACATTGGAAATTGCAGGCACTTGTCATTGCATTTCTTGCATCGATCAAATTGGAAAATAAATATCTGTAGGTTCCCCAATAAATTATATAGTGATGCAGGCCTGCCTGCCCTTAAGCACTGTCTATTTTCGTTTGCATTAAAAACGTTTTATTGCTCCTGGCATTTTCAATTACAACGCACCCCCAAAAGCAGAATATACGTACGACTCGCATCCGATGCTGCTGCTATCCGTGATGCAGCATAAGCAAACGCCGAATCCCCTTTGCCACAGTGCAACGATGGGGCAATTGTGCGGAAAACCCCTAAACATGTTTCGGGTTAATTTAAAATGTGGCCCAGCCAGCTATTCGCCCAGGACAAAGCCCAAAATTAATGTTGTCATTTTCCACTCTGCGCATAAAATAGCCAGAGAGCCAGCAGCAGCAGCAGCCGACAAAAGTCCATGGTGCAGCATCGTCTCATAATGATCCGTGGTTGGGGTTGGGGTAACAGAATAGAACCGAACAGAACAGTTCCAGTTGCAGCCCAGACTGTGACCATATGCATTTGCCGAAAGAGTGCAATTGACTGCAGATGCTGCCGTGATTCAAACAGCTAATTTCAGAATCACAAAATTTATCTAATTGTTCTCGCAGGTCCCGTCCACAAGCTGCAACCCCTTTCCCCTAAAATAATCGAATGCACTGAAACAAATGCACGCATCGATGTGTAAGCCAGAACAAAAATCTAGCGATTCTTTTGTCTCTTTAGTTATCTAATTATGTTCCAATTTTTAATGTCTTTCAATTTTTTGTTCACCCACAAACATGTTTCATAATAAAGTTTTTAAATATATATGATTTATGTGCAGATATGTGTGTGTGTGTTACCAAACATACACCTAGAAGACCTGGCTAGCTATGCGTCTGTTCAGTTGGCTCTGCTCCCGACCCAATGTATCTCTAATTAATGGCAATGAACATGGGAGCGGTCGGGTCGCATTCAGAGCATTTTTTCGAAGAAAGATTTAGGTGTAGATACATTCAATCATGGGGACTGATGTGTGTTTTTCGTGTGTCACATATATAAATGAAAATAATTAATCGTGGATGTCGAAATAATTATCGTCCGACCTACCGTACCCTGCCCAAAAATCAGCTTAGCCAGAGAATTCCACGGATTCGGATAATTCGAAGCACTGTACTGCAGACTGACATTTGATCTCTTTGTGATAAATATAAATCTTAGGGTTTTGACCTTCTAACTGTTTTGGTCAATGGATCTCGATTTTGAATTAAAATCTGTGATGCAGTAAAATTTGAATTGGATTATCGATTGGTACCGACAGAAGACTCGTGTTAATTTTTGTGTTAATTAAACTTTATTTTATTCAATTTTGCATAGATTATTTATTTACACATAATGTCTAGCGTTTAAAATGATTTCGATTGCGATTTTAAATATGGGTGCTTCTTAGAGTTAAAGAATTAATCTGAATTAACTATGTAACTATGTGTGTGTGTGTGTGTGTGTATAGGTAATACCGCTGTTGATCGTTTATATATGTATTTATATGCATATATCACAGATACTCCATTTTGTCTACAATTTTATTATCCGACTAAGATATCATTAATTACATATTTATGTATGTATATAGATTGCTAATCATGTTTGCACGTTTATGTATTTGGCCGACTATTTCTAGTATCTTCGAAAGTCAAAACTCCGTTCAGAAAAAGGTTTAATGTACGCACACACATTTATTATATATATATTTTAGTGTGTGTGTGTATGCTTGTTTGTTTGATTGAATGATTAGAGGAGAGAATTGTATGCCTTGCTGCCAGGCATACCATTTCCGCATTATACATAGGACTGACTTATGGACTCTAATACAACTCGAACGATTACAATAGGGGGCTTAGTCGTAGGCTTAGATTTGGGCCTAGGTAACTGCCGTTTAAAGTTATTAAGTATGGTGGATTAAGCATTAAGCACTTAAGGTAGGAGCAAGAAAAGTTCGAGTGATTAATAACACGGCCAAGTAGTAGTAGTTGTAGTTGTTTATGGATGGGGCCTGAATGTTTCCGAGTGTTGTATTGAGATGTTGGCTGTGATGCTGCTGGGCCACCACCCACACCACACCACACAGAAAAGATGAATGAGTTCGTTCTCTGATGGCCGAGGGAGGGGAGGGGAGGGGAGGGGAAGCTTTCGTGTGTGTGTGTGTAGTGTGTGGTGTGCGTTTATTTCGAGTCATTAAACTCGCAACGGAGAGCCGTTGAGAATGACTCAAACCCAACGGCATGGCATGACAAATACACTCAGCGCTGCTCTGCTCTGCTCTGTTCTGCTCTGCTCTGCTGTGTCTCTTGTCTCGAGCACACTCCGCCCCCTCCTGACGATGTGACTGACAGTGTGACGTACGCGTGTGTGTCTGAGAAACTTCAGTCTGGGGAGGAGTGGAGCGGAGCGGAGAGTGTGAGTGTAAATATGCTAATTAAAGTTATAAAGTGAAATAATTTATGATATGGTAGGAAATAAAGTTTTATTGCCATACTTAAGCTACATTTATTGCAAAATAATTAGTGTAGTAATCGCTATCGCTATCGTTATCGCTATCGTTATTGTTGGCATCTCTGCGAACTCTTGCACTTGTCCGTGTTCGGGCCTGGCTGTGTGTGGTGTGTTGAAATGTTTAAGTAGTTGTGTTTAGTGGTATATATGGTACTATTTGGTATCTGGTTCAAGGCCACTCCTGCTCTGCTCCTGGTGCTCTGCTGCTGGTGCTCCTGCTGCTCCTGCTGCTCCACATTACGAGCCAGCACGACTCTCCGTTAGATAGGCTGCCCCACTACTCATGTACGCAGCATTATGCTCCGCTGCGGTACTGTGATTATTGTACAAAATGTTGACCATGGAAGCCACCGTCACCGGTGCCGGACCGGGCACGGAATGCATCGAAGAACTGTTGCTGCTGCTGCTGATGCTGCTGATGCTGCTGTTGATGCTGCTGCTGATGCTGCTGATGATGTGGTGGTGGCCCCCCAGCTTCATAGTGGGCGGCGTCTGGGGCGGTGTATCCGGCTGGATCTCGGAAAACCCCACACCCACTCTCGCCTGGCTGCTGGGCCCCGATGGATACGGCGGCTCGCGGTGCACCGTATGGATGGGGGTGGGGGGTGGTGGTATGGGGGATCTTGCCGTGCCCGATATGCATGCCCATGGCCTCGGTGTACGCCGTAGGTATCCGCGAATATGGCGATGCGCCGGCGTAGCTGCTCATCATACTCAGCGGCGAACCGAGCTCGACTTGCGGCCCCCCCATCCTCATGCTGCTCGGCTGCATAGCCAGGGACTGGGGGCCCACAGAGTGGAGATGCTGCTGCTGCTGCAGGTGCTGCTGCAGATGCTGCTGCTGCTCCGAGGCTGGCGCTTGGGGATAGAAATTCTGGCCGAGGTATGCCGTTGGCGGTGGCGTCTTGCAGGCGGCTGTGTCGGCCACACTCCAGATTTTCGGCTTGCTCGCCGGCACTGGTATGCCACAGTCTCTGCTTAGCGGGTTTTTTTGAGCCGCATATTCGCTGGTGTCATCCTGGCCGTAGCCCGAATGATAGTATGGTGCCGCCACCTGCTGCTGCTGCTGCTGGTGGTGGTGCTGCTGCGAATGCGGATGCTGCTCCAGATGCTGCTCCAGATGCTGCTGGTGCTGCGAGTGCGCATAGGAATTGTAGGCGGCGTGCATCGGCGGGGCACCGTAGGGTGCCAGGCCACGCATTGCCACTAGATTGTGGGGCGGCGGGTCACGCTCCCTCTCCCGCTCCATCTTTGGCTCGACATCCGGGTCCTTTTCCGCCTTTCCTAGCTCGGATTTGATAAGTTGATTGCTGGGATCTGACGATTAGAGTTTGGAATGTGCAACGGAGACACAAAATAAATTTAATTAATTTCAAGTCTAAAGCGGAAGCAGACAAGTTCTTAGAGTTCTTAGCGGAGGACTGCAAACTTGGCACTCGGAGGTAGAAGTTGGGCTGGCAGCTGGCAGCGGCAGAGGCACAGGCAAAAACCCTTGAAATTGTTGGTGGGCGTTGATGCGTGCAACCCTCGCGACGTCCCAGACAGTCGGCACAGCCCAGCCCCAGCCCCCCCCAGTCCAGCCCCAGTCCAGCCCCAGTCAGCGAAGAAAGCTTTCAGCAACAAAATACTCGAGTTTCCGCCAACTACTCGAGCGTCTCCCTTCCATGGATGTGCCCCTGGTCGGTGGGTAAGGTCGGTCCACGGGACGTGGATGTGGATGTGGATGGTCGAGAGAGAGCGAGCGAGCGAGTCGCCAACTCGAACAAGGCCACTTGCTCGGAGAGCTGTACGGGCGCAAGGCCACTTTGCCAACAATGTGCTGTCAACTTCCGGGGAGGATGTCGCCTAAGCAGTCAGACAAATAAACCGACGGACGGACGGGCGATGGAGAGCAAACGAATACTCGTACTCGTACTCGTACTCGTATTGCATAACATTCGTTTCGCCACATAAATTGTGCTTAAAAGCCCAGTGCCACAAATCTGCAGTGGGGGCGGAACGTTGAACGTTGAATGCTGAATGCTGAACGGTGGCCCAAAACGACAGGCGTTCAAATCAATGGGGCGAGCAGGCGCTTAAAGAACAGTTCAAGGAAGATCCAGGCTGGAGGAGGTCAGCGAACGGAGAACGAGGAACGGAGAACGGGGGCTGCACTTACCAAAAACTTCAGCTGGCAGCTTGCCACCATCGCCTGCACCATCCTTGTTGTCCTTTTCATCGTCCGACATCAGTCCATCGTCATCGTCTTCGGTCTTGTTTTTGGGCTCCCACGTCATTTTGTTCTCCTTTTTGAGGCGACGTCGCGCATTCGCAAACCACGTGGAGACCTGGGTGAGCGTCATCTTGGTGATGATGGCCAGCATGATCTTCTCGCCCTTGGTCGGGTAGGGGTTCTTCTTGTGCTCACTCAGCCACGCCTTCAGAGTCGCTGTTGACTCTCGCGTGGCGTTCTTGCGCCGTGCGGCGAGATCATAGTTCGGCCCATACCTGCGGAATATTCAAATCAAATAGTGCGAACTGGTCAATAAAGATCACGATCTCAGCCCATATCATAGCCACTAATGGGTGTTTGCTGAAGGTTCCACCTGCGACTCCAAACGGGTTACAATTGCAACGCCCCTCGGCCGGAACAGATAGAGTTATCAGCGTTCAGGAAATAGTACTTATAGGCCACACCTTGTACACAAGTCACCCTCCCAGTTAAGTAAATGAAACCAGCAAAAGAACAGGTGGGAACAGCTTGCACCATGCCCCAAGGAAGCAACCAAAATCTGTAGCTATTTTCTAAGATTAAACTAAATTAAATCAAATGGAGTACTCACCCATAGGCGGCCAATGTGGGATCGTACGAATAGTATCCGGTCGTGGACTGCAGCCCTGCAGCTGAGGTCCAGGCATTCATTTCGGTGCTGGCGTTGGCGTCCTTAATGCCATAGGGATTGCTCTGCAATTGAGATGGATGGATGGATGGATGGGGGGGGATGAGCAAGCTGAGAGTCAAGCTGCGGCTGAGCGGCTGAGCTGACATCGAGCATGTAACCCACTGACTGGGGAGCAGCCTCATGAATTTGTCACAGCAGCAGCCGCTAACGAGATACCTCGGATGCCACGACAGCTACATGACGATATCTGCTCAGCCGTCGACTTGCATTTGTGCGCGGACTTCCAGCGACTGCACTAAGCCATCCAATTAGTGGCGCATCGCCATGCGTTAGCTAGTTAGTTTCTCTTACCAGAGGTGCGTAGAAGGCCGAGTTGTCGACGCCAATGCTGGGATACGGATTCTGTTCGTTGGATGGATATGGCCCGCCATAAACTCCCACGCCGCCGGAGGGCAGGGCCATTCTGGAGTAGCCGCCGATCGCCAGGCGCGCTGGATCGTACTGGCAGGAGCAGACGGTCTGCCCGGAAACGGGATCCGTGATGATTGGTCGTCCGTTCTCGCAGCAGGACATGCCCTCGGATCGGCGGCCCTGGAGATCCGCAGCTGTGACATTGCCGCCAGCCCCCACATCACTGCCAGCCGCCGCAGCGTCTCCCAGCGTCGGGGAAGTGGATATGAGTTTGGGGCCCGCATTGTTGGACGACTGCGAGACGGCACCTGGACTCAGGGGGCCTGTGGTGAGGCCGGTTGTGGTCGAGCCCCCCGACGGACTCAGGGAAGCCTCATTGGTCCCGGACAGCGGCGATCCTCCGCCATGGCCGCTCTGGCTGTCGGTGTTAGCTGCCGTCAACTACAAAGAACCCAGCAACAGAAAAGAACAGAAGACAAAAAAAATGCACTTTAGTAAAGGCCGAAAGGGCTGCGGACTGGAATATTTATATATTTGGCGAGAAGGGGCATCTTAAAAACAGGTGAAGTTTTGAGGTCGAAGAGGACTAGGCTCGGATGAAAAGGGGAGAGAGAGAGGGACAGAGAGAGAGAGAGAGCAAAGGAGCAAAGTCGAGTCGAGAGTAGAGTCGAGAGGTAAGCGCAAAGGCATGTCCCTTGGCGGAGCGGAGCCAGGCCGAAATCAACAAAGCAGATTAAGATGATAACTCCAAATGTCAAAATATTTTATTGGCCTGGCGCATTTTGCGATCCGTTCCATCTATTTTCACTTCATTAATTTTCAATTTATCACAGTCAGATTCGAGATACTGCTGCGGCTGCGGCTTCGACTTCGACTTCATCCGAATGCTGAAGCTGAAGCTGCACATCGCACACATCTTTGAAGAGGGTTCGGGCACACATCCCGAGAGTATATCAGTGGACCGATCGATCGCGAGCAACGGGCAAGGGCACGGGTACGGGAATGAGCACGGGAATGGGCATGGGCAGGCCTAAAGGGCAATCAAATGATGAGGGACGCGCAGAGGTACGAGTGGCAACGGTACGCAGGTATGCGCTGCGCTCTCCCTCTCTCGGACGATAACCGCAACGAATCATTGCCAGGTCTGTGGGGAGGAGGAGGAGGAGGAGATGAGACATATCGTATGAGCCAGCAACAACAACAAACACGAGAGTTCCTTTTGGCTCGGCGCAATAGAAAGAACCGAACCGAACGAGCGAACGAGCGAACGAGCGAGCGAACGAACCCACTGAGGTGAACAGACGAAAGACCGATAACTTCCTTACTCCCTCCGCAGCCCTTCCAGCGTCCAACAGTTGATAAGTCAAATAGCAGTCGCAGTTGTCTATATAAAGTCGTTGGACATCGCGGGTATCTATCCCGAAACCTTGGCTTATTTTGGGAGTGGCACCCGTACCCGTACCCGCACCCCTACCCCTACCCCTAACCGTACCCTGTGATGATTGCCTGTCAAGACCGTGACAAATTCCCAATTTTCGTTTCACGCGCAACCAAAATGTTTGTTGGTGGGGTGATGGGGGGGATGGGGGGCTTATGACAGTATCGGAATGGAATGATCATGTCACTGTCTCTGAGCCTGGTCGGGTGCTGCGCCTATTCTATTGTTCGCTGAGAGGACACCAGAGGGTCGTCGTCGTGCCACCGTTTGGGCCCCATTGTTATGGCTCACTTGCCACCTACTTACGGGAGCTACTTTTGGGGGCTGCCACTGCCACTGCTACCGACAGCAGTGAGGTAAATGGGTTCCCTGTATGATTTAAATAATAATGGTAATTCAAAGCTAAACGAGCTGACTTTCAACACCTCCTGCGGGCTATCTAATCGCAGGGCAATTTCTGCCGCCCGCCCGCCCCGACTGCCAGTTAGAGTCCACGTCGAGTCCACACAGGAGAACAGAAATTATTGCATAACGAAGGTGTTTCATGAATGAAATCTAATGAATTCTGAATGAATGGGGATGGCCACTGGCCACTGGCCACGGCCCGGCGACGTCCAGGAGGGACCAACTGTCGACAGGGGCATTGGCTAAGGAGAATGCCAGTTAGCCAGCCAGCCAGCCAGCCAGCAAGAAGTGGCCAAGTAGTGACCCTTCCCCTTCTCTTCCCTTGCCGCAGTCTGTCTCCTGTCCCCTGTCCCCTGTCTCCTGGCTAATGTACAAAACGCTGGGCGCGCTCATTTCTTATTATTCTTTATTTTTTATGCGATTCGAACATCAATTTCAGTTTTTGTGGCCGCCCATAAAAAACACATATCGGCAACGTCGACGACAACCTCCAAACGCGGCCGTGTGGACGGGCAAGCAACCAACTAAGGACAGTGCGGTGCGGTCCGGTCCGGTCCCGAGTTCCGAGTCTCAGACAGCCACCGCACCGCACCACCGGACCCAGCTTCAGCTCCAGCTCCAGCGCTTATTATCGGCACGCAAGTCAGTTTATTTTTAATGGTTACCACTCACCCACTCTGGACTGCATTGCGGGCTGCAGGAAGTGCAGTGATGGGCGCTCTGTGGCTCTCCCTGGAGTTTCATTTATCGGAAGGTGATAGGATAGGATAGGATGGGACGGCACAGGATACGCAACACCCCAAAAAGTTGAAGTTTCTATTTTGCGGAAGTGTCGAAACATGTCGGCAACTCCCTAAAAGTTGACTTAAAGTTTGCTTCTTCCTTTATGACTTCTTCGTGTTCCGCGGACAGTGTCAAGGCACTTAAAGTTGACAAAAGTCTCAGTTGTTTCATTCTCGCATTTCATTTGACATTTATGTGCACTCTTTAAGGGCATAAAACCATTGTTATTTATTCTTCAAGGCCCAAAGAAAGAGGTGCTAATGCCAGGCATGCAAAGGGTGATGCGCGGTTCATTCATTGCCGTCCAGTTGGATGATAATGCCGATGATAAATGCCTGCTAGCTGTGCAGCACATCTCGCAGAAGGCAGATAAGATTCCGTCAATTTTGGCACAAGTCAAACATAAAACATAAAATAAAAATAAAAATATGCAGGCTGCAAGCGAAAGTGGAAAATAAAACCTCCACTCCATAGGCATCAGGTCTGGGTCTGGGTCTGGGTCTTGGTCTGGGCCGATTCCATTGAACCGGCATGGACATCTGCATCTGCCTTTGAAGTGCACAGCCAAAACGGAGCTCCGCTGATGATGCTGGTGCACAGATGCTGGTGCTGGTGGCGGGCCACCCGCACCCACTCTGGCCAAGATGTTGGCAGAAAACTGGTGCCGTCACTTTACGGTTATTAATTTTATGATTTATGCCAAAGCTCACGAAACCGCCTTCCGGCTAGGTTCGAATTCAGATTCAGGTTCCAGGTCCCAGGTCCCAGGTCCAGGTCCAACCTGCCAATGCTCATTTCGTACTCGTGTATTCGCATGTGGGAAAACAAAGGAGATCGCTTGTGGAGCAGGAGCAGGAGCAGGAGTTGCACCATCGTTATGGCTGGAGTACGGTACTCCTAGTACGAGCAGAGCTGCAGATGCTGATGCTGATGTGTGTTCGTAATGCTTGTTGTGGTTATTGGGGCTGGCTGCCGTTTCGCTCTTGTTGCTGCTACCGCTGGGGATGCGTTTATGGATTTTTGTTTTTGCACTCCTAACAACTGGGCGAAACAAAGGAGATTGGCGGAGCAGCAGCAGCAGCAGCAGCAGCAGCAGCAGCAGCAGGAGCAGATGGGGGCGCTACAAGCGGCGGTACAACGTCATCGCCAATGCCAAACAATAAACGAAAAGGAAGCAAGACTGTGTGTCCCGCAAGTCCCTCCACAATACAAACACACAAACATGTGTTTGTTCGTTGGCCCCAGCCAGCCAGAGCCAGCCAGCCAGCCTGGTCTCGAGTCTCGAGGCAGCCTTTTGGATTTGGCATATTCTCACATTCATCCACAGGATTGCGGCACTGCCAGGGCCCAAACGATGGCCATACCATATCCATATGCCCATGCATCGCATCCATGGAGGGAGACAGTGAGAGGGAGGGACGGGAGGAGGTCCGTTGTGCGTTTGTGCTAATGCGAATAAGTCGCTTTGTGTTTTTTTGTGCCTTGCTGGGGTTCCTCTTATTGAATTGACTTTGGGTTCCAGTAGTAGCTGCTGCCCATCCCCCCCCCCCTCCCATCCCGCACAGAGTCGGGGGAACAACTCTTTCTCGGCAATGGCAATGGCAATGGCAACGGCAACGGCAGTGGGTCTCAATGTTTGCATTAAAAATTCATAAATCAATTATGGAATGCACACGGCGAAATATTAGTTTTTTCTCGCATCATTTCGAATGATGATGGTCCCCGGTCTCGGTCCCCGGTCTCGGACTCGGACTTGGTCCCTGGTCCAGCAAACGAGATGGGGCATGGAGCAACCGGATTCAGGACTCTCGACATTGTCCGACCGAACGTCGCGACGGCTTCTCAGCGCTTTTTGCAGCCGTAGAATTTGAGTTATTTTGCCATGAAATGCGTGAACAGCTCGCATGGGAAGTTGGGAATTCTGAGTGCTCCTCATACGCGCGTCGCACACAGCAGAACTGTCAACTGCCACAGAGAGGCATAGTGGCAGTGGCAGTACAAGTGGCGGTGGCAGTACCAGTGCCAGTGGCAGTAGCAGCCGTTGATTAAATTCATATATTTCATGCGTCAACGTTTTTTTTGCCTCATATTTGGAATGCCGTCTTGGCGTTGAAATTAAAATTAAATTAATGAATTCGAGTTCTTATTTGTAAGGCACTCCACTCCGCTGCCCGCTCCCCTCTCCACTCCTCTCATGCCTTCCTGCCTGCCTGCGTACTGCATAAATCTTAAGGCTTATAAATTTGATACAGAATCATTACTGGCGGCGGAGCGTCGACTGCTGGTACTCGCATTGTGCGATACTCATCCAAAACATGCAGTTCAATCCTTGCTCTTAATTGGGCTCAGTGGGCAGGGCAGAGTGGGGAACACACACAACTACACAAATACACAAATTTAAATGCCCCCCCCCCCCCCCCCCCGGGGGGGGGGAAAAAAAAAAAAAAAAAAAAAAAAAAGGGGGGGGGGGGGGGGGGCGCGGGGGGGAAAAAGGGGGGGGGGGGGGGGGGGGCGCCCCCGGGCCCCCCAAAAAAAAAAAAAAAAAGAGGGGGGCCCCCCCCGGGCCCGGGGGGGGGGGGGGGGGGAAAGGACACACCCGGAGGAGGAGCAAAGCGGAAAAAAAGGAAGAGGGAAAACGGGACGGCTGTCCCAAATTGTGAAACATTTCTTTGCGGCGGCGGCGGCGGCCATTATGGATCCGAGAGAGTCCAACCGGTGCCAAAGTGCTTGAATATTCATGTGCCCCCCACCCCAGCGCCAGCTGCCACTGCCACTTGCCACCAGCTTAAAATGTTTATGCCTTGTCTCAGCCAGAGATACCGATAAGTACCACCACCTATCCACAATTACTAAAGATTTCCGACACTCGAGCCAATCTTAAAGCAGAAATATTTATTGATGGATGCAGGCAAATGTCCCAAGTCTCATAAAATAATATTCAGCAGAGCAAACATCCCTCTACGGATTATCTATTGAATGATATGCTCTATTAAATTATTAGATATTATTATGTGTAGCAACAAATATATATTCTGGCTTGAAAGGAATATCCTTCCACTCGTATGAATACTTTACTCTTCCAACTCATTTGATTTCGTTAGATAAACCTCCCCCCATTTATATATTTCGAATATCAAAGAATCAATCGGATTGCGACTGGGTGTGAGTCTCTAATTTGATAATCTCTCTGACACGCTGCTTGGGCTCCACTAACCTGATTTGCCGTCGGGTAACCGCCGTATCCAAACTGCGCATATGCAGCCATTGTCGTCGGTGACGTCTTCCTCCGAGTCGATGGTGTGGATGTTGATGTGGATGTGAATGTGGAGGAGGACGTGGCGGCACAGCGGCAACACGCGAGTGAGCTTGCCTCGCTGTGGGGCGCCGTCCCGGGTCGCGGCAAGGATGCGGATGCTGATTCTGATTCTGATGCTGCTTCTGATTCTGTTTCTGCTGCCGGGATGCTGGCGATACACTTGACAAGGGGTTGGGTTCGGGCACTGACTGCCAAGGATGATGGCGATGGGGTGGCAGATTCGAATAGAGGATGGCGGCTGGAGGCTGGAGGCTGGCGGCTGGCTGATGGAGGTGGTTGGTTCGGTTCCGTGCGTGCTCGACTGTTGGGCCGCGGCTAAGCACTTTGGATGCTTTTGTTGTTTGTTTGTTGGTTTGTTGGATGTTGCGCTCAATTGTTGTTGGTGTTGTTGTTGCTGTTGCTGTTGTTGGCCTTGTTGAAAATTGATAAAACAAATTGTCGATGTCGAGCAGTTCTGCTAATGTCGCCGCAGCCGGAAAATGTTTTGTTTGTTTTGTGTGACTTTGCTCTTTATTCGTTTACTTTGCTTTTTATTGACTCTGACTCTGACTGTGGCTCCGACTCTCTGACTCTCTGACTCTTTCGCGGGTCTCGTCCCTCTCTCTCTCTCTCTCTCTCTCTCTCACTGTCGGTGTCTGTTGGCCGGCCAGGCGGCAAATCCTCGTATATTCGCTTCAAGTGTTTGCCACAAACAGATTTTCTGACTTATCGCCTCTGAAGTACACATGTACCGTGCACCGGAGGATAGGATACGATGGGAGGGGATGGGATCGGATCGGATGGGATGGTGTGTGCACTTCAAAAAGACTGCCTGTCGGCAGATCTTCAACTCCAGTTCTCCCAGTCTTCGAATGCTGTTCCCTGGCCACAAGTAGAGGGTAGGGTCTGGGTCTGTGTCTGTGTCTGGCTTCGGCCTGTGTTAATTTTTGTTGTATTAATATTTTAATGCACTTTGAAGCTACAGTTCGTTTCCAGCTATTGCACGCACTTTATCAAGCATGTCCGACACGATAGCTCTGCTCTGCTCTGCTCCGGTGTACGGAAAACGAGTTTCACAACCTGTCAGTGGCCCCTCTCGAGGAGGACGACGACTGCCTGCCTGCTGACACTGACAGCGGGAGCTGCTAGCTGGCTGGCAACTCGTTTCGTTTCGCTTTTCAGTTTTCTCCGTGTGTTTCGGGTTTTTGGTTATTTCGTTATTTCGGAGCGATGCGCACTTATTCACGTTCGAACACGAACTGTTCGCTGGCAGTGGCGGACGGCCGCGTGAACGAGAGACCGAGACCCACCGGTGTGGGAGCGGGATGGCATCTGTGCCAGGCAGAGCACGAGAGCAGGCGAACGACAACTGGCCGCCCGATTGGCCAGCGTTCCAATAAGACAGGGAGCATGACACATCTGCCGTCTCTGTCGTGCAGCCTGTCGGGCTGAGCGACCTTCTCTTCTCGGTGGTGGGCACGCCCTCCTCCCCCAAAACTGGAAGTTCTTATCGCATCGAGCATCGGAGCTCGCTCCGAGCAGCTGTGTTTCCCCTCTCGCGCCACTGGAAGCGATTTCATGGCGGACCACGATCGAAAGGCTTCCTTCCCAATCGGACACTGGCTGCTCTGCTGCTGCGGCTTGCTACTTGCTGCTTGCTACTGCTGCCTCGTGGCCACATATGGCTGCTCAGCTGCAGCCTTTTCTGACTCTGTCTGATATTGAGGCGAGTACAAAAATTGGAGAAACAACTATCGAAAATAACTCTGAGAGTCACTTTTTTGAGTCTACAAATCCAGTGCAAGGCAGCACGGGAAACGGCAGCACAGTTGATCTAATTATATTAATCGAATTTTGACATATGTATGTTATACTATAAATTATAGAAATAAATTTCTATAAGCACTCTTCCAACTTGTATCGGCGTTAAATCAAACACTGAACCAAAATCCACCATAGATTGCTATCCCCATCCCCTGTCAGTATCTGAAGTTGAGTTTGAGTTTCCTAATTGGCCCTCTGGCTAATACTCATACCCGTACCCTTACTCGTACCCGTACCCGTACTCACACTCACCAGTAAGTACCCTCGTAGTAGTAATAAGAAACCGAAATGAAAAAAACAAACAAACAATTCGATTCCAGTCTGGATCTGGAGCAAGAGCTGGAGCTGGGGGGCGTAGCTCTCGGGTCCACTCGAAAGAAAGTCCTCTACTTGGGATAGGTTCTAATTAATGGCACGCAGAGCAGAGCCTCAGACTAAGACTTAGGGCAGGGGAGGAGGAAGGGAGGGAGGAGGAAAGGGAACGTTTTTGAGGAATTTTTGTAAAATGAGATATTTGATGTTTTGGGGTGTTAACGCGCCGCCATTCATTACGGGAATGTGAATATGTATGTGGAGGGCTCGCACATGTGTCCCTTCGCCAGCACTCTGGGATAAGTACGAGCCAGGGAGGGGGGGAAGGGGGAATGTGTCATTTGCATCTCGGGATCGTTGCAGTTACAGTTACAGCTAGTGCTGGCCGGCCTCAATTGCTCTTGGATGGATGGATGGATGGATGGATGGATGCTCTTGACGGCGCCACGAAACCCAACACTCAGTGAAGTTCTGGGGAGTAGCCATCAGGCCATTGGGCCAGCAGTGGAGTAACTCTTGGGATTGCATTTCAGGGATTTGTATCCTTAAATTAATATGGGAATGATATGGGAACTGTTGCACATGTCCATGCACCGTAATACCTGTGCCACACACACACGCACGCCACACACTCGCAACACACATTCCTATTTGCTTGGAGAAACACAAACCAAACTCTTACTGGACCGGACATGCAGATTATATTGAAAACAATTTAAATGTAGATTTTCGGCACTGAGAGATTTTACTCCTTGACACCAGATGCGATTCGGTGTGGTGCGGTGCGGTGCGGCAGGCAGGCAGGCAGGCAGCCAGAACCCCCTTACGAATTCAACTGCTAATGCACGTTGCAGGCTCTGTGTGGGGGCGTGGGCCAGGTGGAAGAATCCACGCACGAGAGTGTTGCCGGGTCTGCCTCAGCCCCCCTCCCACGCTCCCACCACCCATCTGCCCCCAGACTGTTGCCTCCTTAAGTGTTGTTTCATGTCACCTGGAAAGCATTTGGACATGAAATTGTCGCTTTTCAGTATGTGGCACACACACATCGGCAATCGACAATCGACAAAGAGACAGACAGACAGACAGACAGAGAGTCGGGCCTCATCTCTCGTGTTTGGGGAGAGGCATCGAGAAATCTTCTTGAATTGAAGGCACACCCCACACGCCCCATACCCAGAGAGAGAGAGAGGGAAATGTGCACAACTATTCTCGTCGTAATAAATATAATAAAATCCTTTTGAAAACAATAAACGATAAAGTCACCGGAACAAGCTCGGCAAGGACTCGACTCGACTCGACTCTGTGTGCAAATTGCTTTAAATGAATTTGTTTGTCTCTGTCTTTGCGTCTCCAAGGGGAGCCAGCACACTCAACACTAAAGATTTTGTTACAAATTGCAATAATCCTCATGCACAGGGCACACTTTTTGGACCAGCTCAACCTCCATTTTGGCTGCGAGTTCCCTCCGATCCGGGCCAGAAGTAGACACCGTGGAGTCGCTCTGCCGGGGGCTGGGGCTGGGGGCTGGGTGTTGGGTGTTGCCGGTGCACCAATCAGTGTGCGGCGTTATCAGCCGACAGAGATATCGTATCGTATCGGCACCTGGCATCTTATCGACCACTCGAAAATGAAATTGCTGCTCAAACAGAACAAAAGCGCTGCCAGCACACAACACGACATTTTTCCCCAAACATTCAGAAATGGAAACATACTTATTTACTCACTTTTCAAAACAAATCAACAAATCAACAAATCGGTACTCTTTGTGGTTCAAGTGCCGTTTACGTTTGCGTTTGCGTTCCATCAAAGCCCAAGTCAGTGCCGCAGTCTAGGCTAGACCAGGGACACGGGCCATGGGCCATGGGACCCCGATCCCGGACTGCCAACTGCCAACTCCAACTGCCGACCTGGACCCACAGACCCTTTCCTCTGAATTCTTTGCGCGTGCGTTCCCCTTTGGCGGCGTTTTGACATCGCCATCACCGACAGTCACGATTGATTGTCGCACCAATTGACGTGATTTCTGTTTTCCAATTGGTTTTCGGAACTCACGTTCACGCACACGAGTGCCAGTGGAGACACACTTTACTCACTTCTAGATACACGCAGTATCTAGTTATTATCGGTGACGCGCGTGATGGGTCTGGCTGGTCTCTGGTCTGGACTGGGGGCTGTTCGAGGGGCAAGGGCTGGGCATGACAATTAGAAGTAGATGCTTTGTATGGACAGCTGCCGGTGGCATGCGTCACGACTCTGCCCCCCCCGCTCATGTGGCATGTCGGTATGTGCCAACTGGGCTGTTGCTGCATGCGTGAGCATAGATCACATGCAGATCGTTGAACATCATTTCGCATTGATTTCAGGCCAAAAAATATCCAAAAATCTAAGCCCCCTAAAGACTTCTCCTATATGTCCGAGGAATAGCTTCAGATTGTGGGTCAACTGTTGGGGAGTGTCGTAGCTTGTTCCATACTCTACTTCCCTCCGATAGCATAAAGATATATAAAGATATAAAGCAGCACTAAAGCTGGATATCAACGCCACTCCTGAACATTAAACAAAAGTGAAAAGGGGAAAAGTCTCTGCACATTTAAGCACTCATATGGTAATGCCACTTTTACGAATACTTCTCAGCGCATTAACATCAAAATAACAACAGAACAAATTTGAAATTTCAGCTGGAAGTGCGCAGCCTTCCTCCAGGTATCCTTCCGCTTGCCAGCTGCAGCATTGACTGCTCTGCTGCATTCCTTGTTGGCCTGCACACAGAAACTTTTTATTACCTGCTTCATAGTAAAATGTTTGGAAACTTTCGTCCCTCCTGAGACGTGAAATGTTTCGGCAGATTAACATTTTACCTGCACGTCAGACAATTACAATTTAGTTCAAGGGTTCATACCCTAACTGGCATAAAACAAAGTTCAAGTAAATACATTTAAATTCGTGGAGGGGGAGGAGCCATCACCGCACATTTAAGTATTGGTTTTTCATCTGTTTTATTCTGCCAAATAAAATTGGGCACTGCGAAAACAGACAAATCATTCCTGCTTCTGGCATTGCGTTGCCCGTCTTCTAATTAACATTTTCCTGTGGGGCACACAATCCCCCCATAGGACGTGGGGACTCGAACGAATGCAAATACATTTGTTTCGTGGAGTGAAGTGGAGTGGAGTGGAGGGCACGGAATACGTTAAT